TAAGAACAAGGTGTTTGGTAACTGCCCCAACTGCGATAATTCTCTTCACTGCTGTCATAAATCAGACTATCCAATTATTCACAATAGAAACTATTGAGGTTTAGGTTATGCAGAGCAAGTTTAAGAGACCACATTTTGTGTTTGTTTTGTTTTTTGAAGCTGGGGGTGGGTTTGAAAAAGCCAAGGTCAATCAGTTGATGCCCTCTGAACAGACAGCCTGCACGATAAACAAAACGTGGACAAAACAGTTGGATAAAACCAGCAAAACATCTAGCCTGCTGTCCATCATGTACAGGCACTGACAGGCTGCCATAACAGAGAAACTGCTTCTACAAAGGAAACAACATTCTCTTCATGGAAACAGTTTTGCTTCTAAATGACAAAATAACCTGTATATTATAGGAGAGATTTACATAGAAACACTAAATTGTGAGGTTATCCAACCACCTTATTCATTTACCAATGCAAAACACATGCAGAAAAGAATAAAGAGAATATTGGCAAGGTTAATGCTTGTGCAGACACAAATCTCATTATAGTAATAAATCAAAGTCTGAAATTCTAAAATACAGTTTTTTGGGCTGGGAGAAAAAAGTGGAGAAAATAGCTATCAGCTATTGAAATTTACTGCTTTCTCTTCCCTTGTGGCAGTCAAATTCAATTCTTTGAACGTGTGGAAGAACTACGAGGAACATATGAACTTACTGCACTTCACACAACCAGAATCACTAGTTTATTTGGTGTCTCTTGGAAATGAGCGCAACATGTGATGGAATTCCTGTGAATCCCACCAGCACAGTTTGCTCCCTATGAGAAGTTCCTACCAGCACTAGTCAAAATAGTCTGCACCTCAAAATCATCCCTACCACCTCTGGTCCTAGGTTCATTCCTACTCAATGGTAACCTCACAGCTTTTTAAACAAGAAGCATCCAAAAGCTGGTCTCATCTTTGTTGTATCAGTGACTGCAAATTCCACCCAGCATTACTGTCTTTTGAACAGCAGCTGCATCAGGTATCATCACCGTCATCATGTTTTCTAAATTTTAGCTGCTTCTGCCCATGTGACAAGAAAGGGCACAGAGGCTTACACTAATATTGTGAGCAACAAGAGACATTACACTTCCCTCAAACTGACGTTTTCCAAGAAATATTTTTCAAGGCAAGGAATATTGCTGTTTGATTTTTCATCTTAGATGTTTCAGATCATAGTCTTCAAGGTACACTGCCCACATACAGACTCTAGCACTATGCTGTAACTTAGATACTGAGGGGGCAAGTCTTATTTGGTTCCATCTCAGGTGATCCATGACTCTAGAGTGACTCTAATTTTTAAATCCTGAAAACATGAAATGTGGGTATTCTGGTATGGGGTAGTTGGGGTTTTTTTGTTGGTTGGTTGGGGTTTTGTTTTTTCTACTTGATTCTTCCATTGTTAGTTTGTGTGCTGCTATAAACTAGTTAAATTCAGAAATAAACTCAATACCAATCCCAAATCATTTAAGTCCACTGAGAAATGCAAAGTATTAAGCTATGAGCCTACAGATAGAAGACTATGCAGTTAAAAGAAAGTCACAATACTTCCATTCTACAAACAACAAAACATCAAATTATTGAAAGAGAGTATCATATCCCCATGGAAGAACATGCAGTAAAAAAGCCTCAATTCACATATAACTGAAATATAAGTGTTAAGCATGTATCAAGAGGCTCAGATAACTAACAACAGTGACCAACAGACCACTTTGAAATAGCTCCTGCTAGACCTGGCTGAAGTATTTCAGCAACACCCTAACTGGAAACACAGGTTTGATGAAACTGAAACACTTTGTAGGTGCAGGTGAATTTAATCAATGTTTCTGACAAAAGAAATTCCTGAGTAGTCATTCACACAATTTATTAATTCTAGCAGAACTGAAGTAGAGAAAATAAAATGAAAAGGAATGTCATGGCCTATGTTTCTAAAACTCACTTACCCTTCCATTAGGTTCATCCCCCGAAGGATTTTTACAAGCACCAGTTTTCAAACATCTTTGATTGTTTAATGCAAAATGACTTCAAAGTGATCTAATAATAACAGGAAACATTTGCATCCCGTCTCAGCCTCCTACTTACCTTGTCAACGTGTGGGTGCCAGTATTCATCATGTGTTGTCTTGGCTTCTGTATTGTTTATTCTCGAAAAGAACGTTGGCTTAGTCAGGTACATGGAAGAAGAGCTGATACCAAATGCCTGAGCAATCCTTTGTTGAATTCTCCGTCTCACATCACTGCAAAGAACACAGCACGCTAAGTGACACAATTCTCTCCTGCTTCTGTATTCTCCTTCATTCACTATCATTGCTTCTTTAGAGCTAAGCTGCTTCTTCAGCTGATCAATCACAGGGAACACATAACCCTACCTTCTCTCATTTTGCCTTAAATAAAGGAGATCTACTACCTCAAGAAAAAAAAAAACCCTCCCAGTGTTTTGGGTTGGGGTTGGTTGTTTTCGGTTTGTTTTGGTTTGGTTTTTTTGGTTTGTTTTTTTTTTTTTTAAATTCTCAGAATATCAAGGAAAAGGAACTATTTGTCTTCTGTGACCTAGGTTTTAGAATTTCTTTGTGTAAGCAGTCTGTTTTCCAGAAAAATTCCAGGCATATCTCACTGTTTATTAACCACTGGAAAAGACTAAAGATTTTCACACACATATTTTTAATCCAAAGCAGATAACTAGAAAGTTGTTTCTTCATGAAGGGTTGCTTCTGAAGAACCTTCAGCTATTTTTACACTAATTTTCAACTAATCGATGAAGTCCCTGGCGCCATGAAACTTGGCGTTCTCGGTCAACATATGTATTGGTATCATAACCAGATTTTCCTTTAAAATGAATGCAAGATGTCTTTCCCAACTATTTTCAAAAATTCAATTAAGCTATTTCTACCTTGGGTATTCCTCTGTTTTTCGGGAGACAGGAAGAAAAGAATAGGATTTTTATTTTTAAGATTATGAAAATAGAAGACTACCAATTACACATGTGTCACTGTACAGAACTGCTTATATAGCAGCATCCATCTTTCAGGACAGATATCACTGCAAACAGAGCTAGAACAGGGCCGTCTAGAACTGCCAGCCTTAGTTCAGTCAACAGCACTTTAAGAGGTTTGTGATTAGTGAGGAATACCGCTGGCTAATCCCATCAGTAAACACATACAGCTAGTATTGAACTTTGAGGAAATTTAAAAACCAGCAAAGAATGCAATAAGACAGTGAGATGAAATGAAAACATTGGGTTTAAGATGTAGTTCTCTATGCTTCTTAAAATCTTTTTTTTTTCTCCCAATTTTAACATTCTTAGCTATTGTATTAGGCTTCCTCTTCTTCCTAAGTGCTTCAAAAGAAGCATACAAACAAGATACTCTGAGTAAACACATTTCTGAAGTTGTGCATGGAATTACATTAGTAGTTTTGCATCTTTTCTGTGTCAGACATTTCTCCACTGGGTAGTACTGAACTTCAGCATAATTTTCAAGAAAGTTTTTCCCAAGCATTTCTCTAGGGAACTTAAACAGTGACTAAAGAGAAGTGACAGAACTAAAGCCAGACCTACAGTGTTAGGCTGTGAAAGTCACCTCTTCAAAACTATCTCCACAATTACGAAAAATCCTAAATAGTCATTCTGTTCATATCTTGTCCCTCACCAAAAAAATAAGAAAAGCCACATACAGATTTGATTTTTAACCTGTCTCACTTTACATTTTTAGGGGTCTAAGCTTCAGGCATCAATTCAAGCTATTTTACATGTGAAATATCAAAACCATTAAATGACGTTAGAGCTGAGATTTTCAGGTATTTATATGGCTGCATGAGGTTTCAAGGTTTCAAGCTGAGAGCTACATAGCACTAGAGTTTGTAAAACTGATACCAGGAAAGGATCTACCAGTCCCTCCTCTCATGCCTGTGGGAGCCTGATCTTTCTGTCTGTTTTCTTTCCAAGAAGTAGGGCTTCAGCAGAGGCTGCCTTATGTTTCCCAAAAAGCATCAAATGTAATTACTCATTTCACTGCATGAATTGAGGGTAGCTGGCACTTTGAACAACCCAACACAAGAATTAATAGCCTAACCCACAAATACTAAAGCAGCATACTCCCTGGCTCTGACACCAGGTGGCCAGTTGCATCAGCCAGTTGGAATATATCTACTCTGAAGTAGTTAGGCCACAGTCTTGACATAACTTTAAATCTCCAGTAGTTGTATTGCTCTCTAAGCAGTACCTCTTCCTCTTTCAGGCCAATACTTTTTCTACTTTTAAAAGCTTTCTATTAAGATTTGCTGTCTGGTTTTTATAAGGCTCTATTAAAGCTGCGCTCCTCTGAGACTTACGTGCAATGGCTTTGGGCAAGACTGCATGTTTTGCAAACCAAGCAGGAACCAAATCTCTACTCAACTCTTCCCAATAGACAAAAACAGCAACCAAGAGTCTACCTGGTTTGGACCAGCCAATGGCTTAGCAAAAGAAAAGCAAAATAAACTCAACGGTTTAAGTATGCTGCAAAGAGAAAATAAGCATATTTTTCAGAAGATGTTTGTTTTTTCCTGCTTATAAATCAAGTAGGCAGGGAAAGTGGTGAATAGGAAGACAGAGTAATGAAGTAGTTGAGGTGACAGGTCTAAAAGCACGATTTTAGGTGTTATCTGGTCACATGGAAGCAGCTGCCTTCAGCTGACCTAGGTAGCTGGTTTTTGGATGTGTAAGCATACTGCTGTCCTCTTACTTCCCTGTGAGTTATTGGCCTCAAGTATTGCTTTTAGTCACAATAGCTGCTTCAAGTGCATGAGGTGACAAGAGATGCTAGCCTCGCATTTCTTCAGCTGATTCGTGTGCTTTTGCCTTTTGCTTCTCTGTGAGCTGTCACCCTACATATCACAGCATCACTCAAAAACTTAATCAAGACAATCATGGCATATGTAGCAGACTAACATGAATTTTATGCACATAAATAATTTGCTCTTCAACAAAAGAGGCGATAAACTATCAAAAAGGCCCACTGATTATAATGGATCTTGGACTAAGCTTTAAAAAAACAGGTATTTACCCTTTGGACTTACAGCTGTGCTAACACGTAATACAGACACACCATGATATCCCATGTCCACGGACCAAGTTTACAGCAACAACCTTCCTTCAGGAAAGATGTCAACAGGCAAAAGAATACTGACTATTCGCATCACAGCTCAATAAGCAA